GAATGAACACAGAATGGTTGAGAATTTAGTGTTATCTCTTTCATAGTAGTTACGAGAATGAACACAGAATGGTTGAGAATTTAGTGTTATCTCTTTCATAGTAGTTACTATAATGAACACAGAATGGTTGAGAATTCAGTGTTATCTCTTTCATAGTAGTTACCAGGGTGAACACAGAATGGTTGAGAATTTGGTGTTATCTCTTTCATAGTAGTTACCAGGGTGAACACAGAATGGTTGAGAATTTGGTGTTATCTCTTTCATAGTAGTTACCAGGGTGAACACAGAATGGTTGAGAATTAAATGTTATCTCTTTCATAGTAGTTACCAGGGATGAGGGTTTTCGCTATCTTGGAAGCACGCTCTCGAAGGACGCAGTGTGTGGGAGCGGAGAGGGCTCAGACTAACCACCAAGCTGAAGGTCTATCGGGCAGTGGTATTGAGCGTCCTACTATATGCCAGTGAAACATGGACTGTGTATCAGAGGCACGCCAGAAAGCTTAATCACTTCCATCTGTGCTGTCTCCGCCGGGTCCTCCATGTTAAATGGCAAGACAGAGTTCCCGACACAGACGTTCTCAAACGTGCTGGTGTCCCTAGTGTATACACGCTTCGCTGACTTGTGCTTTCTGGCACGAGGTGACCGGCCCATAGAATGCCAGCTGATAGAATACCGAAGCAAGTTCTCTGTGGTGAACTTAGTGAAGGTAAACGATCGGTTGGAGGACAGAAGAAACGTTTTAAAGACTGTTTAAAACTATCCCTGCAAGAGTTCGACATCAACCATGTGAACTGGGAGTCGTTCGCCCAGGATAGATTTCTTTGGAGAACGAAGGTCCAGCAGGGTTTGGTGACAGCAGAATGTAAACGTCGATTGGTTGTACCATGATAACTAAAAGTTGCCAGGAAGCAAGGCTGGATTAAGGACGTGAAGGTCCAGGGCAAGTTTTGTACGGGGCCTTCAGAACTGAACTCCCGATTTTTGGAATCACCCATAAATATTAATTAAATAATTGTTCAACATTTCGCGGCTCAATATTTTTAACCTCCACGTCGTACTTACACACTAATAATTTACACATATTTACTTATCTTATAATAAAATTTTTAAATGTGTTTTTGAACAACACACAACTAACACAAATATTCCTCCAAAATCACTACGAATTATATTCTGATTTATGAAACAACCACCATTTCATGCGATAGGTAGATAATATAGAAAAAACTAATACTAATATTTATAATATATATAAAGTAATGACAACGACTTTTTTGTTGTTGTTAAATTGCCGAGCAAATATTTATGAAAAGACAATCTATAAGAACATGTTAATGAAAAATTACAAGATAATACGTTTATATGAAACAACTAAAATCATTTTTGTCATAGTGACACATTTGCAAAGATTTATTTTCAATGAAACATCCAGTTTTCGAATATTTTATTTTTACTTTTCTCTTAGTTGGAGGCGGGTCAATTACAATCATGTGCCCCTCCCTAAGCTGACTCTTCACGGTCGCTGAACTTGAACCTAGCATTGGGTTTTGTGTTCCTGGCCCCCTCTGGATCTTAGAAGAGTCATTGTTGTAACTGTTTTTATAATCCTTCCCTTTCACTAACTAGCAGGATCAAACTTGGCACACATGCTCATGTTTTAGGGCTGGTGTCCTAACGATTTTTTTTCGGTTACAGATTCCCCTTGAGGTAACTATAGAAGTAATTGGGGCCATGGAAGAGCCTGATCGGTACAGTGGGGCCTTTTAACCCCGCTTCGAAACCAGTATTTTATGATAGTGCTTTTAAAACTGTTATTAGGCTTATTAGGTACTCAGTTGATTTATTAACACCAAGCGGTTAGCGACTTACTCTTAATTCACAAATGAGGAAAAAAAAAAAAAGATAACTTAGATAATATCGACACAATCCCCAATAAAGTTTTTTTTTTATTTGTTGTTAAGCACAAAACTATAAAATGGGTTATTTGTGCTCCGTTCACTGCGGATATTGAAACTCGGATTTTAGCGTCTTAAGTCCTCAGAGTTACCACTAAACGACCGAGTCCTTCTGTAAGGAATAATAAACACTTCTATCAGTGGCTCAGCGGTAAGTCTGAAGGCTTATAACGCTAAACACCAGGTTTTGATAACCGTGATGGGTACAGCACAAATAGCTCATTGTGCAACTTTGCGCTTAACAACAAACAAACAGAACCTTATATTTAACTTGCATTTAATTAAACCTGTTACTATTCTTTTACAATATTGAGTATATGTACAATTATTCATAAAATGTAAATAGACTTATTTATTTCAAATATATAAACCTGTATTGATGACAGTATTATAACCTCACCAAAACTTTGTTGACTGTAAAAACAAAAACTTAATTAAATAATTATTTTTCAATTAGAGATATATGGCAGTAGATAGCGCTACAACCTAACTGGTTAATTTTCGTAATGTTATAAAAATGTGTGTGGTTTTAAATTTTTTAAATGGTAAAGTAATTTTTATTACGAGTTAACGTGATAAGTAAGTGTAGAAAAAAAAAACGTATAAATAGTTAAGATTAGTTTCAATCTTTTGGTCTTATTTATTTTGGTTTTGACATTTATGCATTTTTGTTTACATCCGGACCAAAATTTAAGCAGTAGATTTGCTTATAACTGTACGTGTACGGTATAAGTGTAAGTTGTAAATGTAATAATAAATTAGTATAATATGTTTTTTTTTAATTTACTTGATATATTAAATGAAAAACAAAATTAAGCAGATCAAAAGCCTAAATTTTGGGCTACATTTTCGTCATTATGAATTTGTTAAATCATAAGCAACATGTTGCATTGCCAGTCTATATTTGTTACAAAAACTTATAAATATCCTCCACATACGGCAGCAATAAAACAGTAAAAGTAAAATTAGTACTACTAACTGTTAAGGATAAATAAAACTGCATGACAATATAATAGTGATTTATAAGTTGTTCGTAGTAAAAACTGAGTTGAAATGGTGAAAGCTTGATAGAACTTGGAAAATCAATAGTAATACTGACTAGATTCATTACAAAATGACTGTCCAATAATATTAATTTAGGACATCTGAGTTGTAATTTTAATGTGATGAAATTGGTATCTCTTAAGCACAAATAAAGACTTTAAAAAAAAAAAACAACAACTAGAAAACAGAATATACCATTGTTTCTATTAAAATCTTTTTTTTTTTTCAGAAGGAGATTAATATCTCGGAATTGTATGTTTCGCAAACAGAATTAAATACTTTGACTGTTTCCTTGCGCTGTCCCATTAAATTTTCATGATCTCAACTGCAGTGAAATTGTCTTATTTTTTTATGATTTTTCGAAGTCAGTATGCTTTGCATGCCCACTAGTTTGTTTTATCATTTCAAATACATATATGTGTTTATATTTCATGACAAAATATGGTTGAAACTGAAACCTAACACATGATGAGTTTCTTATTATGTGACAAAAATTTGGTAAAAGTAGAATTTCAGACATGTTCATATTGACAAGTAAAAGCCATTGGAAGAGCTCTCTAACTTTTATTAGACCAAGGGCAAAGCCAGGAGAATTATCCCAGACAGGGTACACCTTTGATACTGACTGTCATTGTCTTGAAGCCATTGAAGAATGGATTCTTGTATACATGCAGATTGTGTTATGACATTATATTTATATGTATTATACTTCTTGATAATTGTACTCTGTTTAAATATAATGTGTTGCACTTAAAATATTTGAATCTGCAGTTGTTTTTAATTTAAATATATCATCTAAATAAGTCTATAAATTAAACAATGTTAATATATAATTATTTTTATTATAGTGCCTTATTTTTGTTTCAATATCTGTCTTTTGTGTAGTTTGTGAGGTATAGTGGATGGGGTATCTGCTTTGGATTAGTAAGGTTGGATGTTTGATTGTGTAATAACATAAGGTATGCCACAATTTTTTTTCTGGTTGCTGAAGACAAGAATATATTTGATAAGCTTAATTTACTTCAAACTCCTGATACACATTTGCACGTTTTATTATATAATTTGCATCTATAAAATAATTCATTTAAAACTTAAAGGAAACAAACCATTTCAAAACATATTTTGCTCAATAACTTGCCATTTATGTGGGCTCTCTTAACTTTTTTTTTTCAATATTTAAAGTTTCATCTCCAAACCTTATTCTTCCACCACCTCAATAACTTCCAGTAGGTGGTTTATTCAAACTCTCAAAGCTTTTAAATTCTTGAAACAGGTGCCACTTAGGTCCAATCCTTGAGTATGTCTTTAGTTTAAATGTTTCACACCAGAAATCATTTTGGTAGTTTGTCTTTGAACATTTTGAAGTAAACTAATATATTTTCTATAATAAGGGGACCACAAACATAAATGAATACTTATACAAGTTTTATAGAAAGTGATAACCTCTCTACTCCTGTGCTCAAAATTTCTGTGAATAATTCCCATAGTACTGTTTACTACTTTTCAACACTCCCAAACATTTAGTTAAGGGCTTGAAGCTCTTATCAATCATGACACCAAAAAGTGTCTCACTCTTTACAGCACTAATATTTCTTCCATACAAAAAATTGCATGTAGAACATAGTGGCTCAGTGGTAAGCTTAAAGGAATATAATGCTGAAATTTGGAATTTTATCCCTATGGCAGTCCCAGTGTACACAGCGTGGTCACAAGTAAATAGACACCACCTTTTCAGAAAAAAAAATAAATTTTTCAGTCACATTCACATGAATTGATATATTTATAATTTAATTAATATCTAGTAGATCTTCCTTTCACTTCGTGGAGTTCGTTGATCCTTTGGGGCATCGTGAGAATCATCTCGTCAATTTAAGATTGTGGGATTTTCTCCCACTCTTGCTTCAAAACATGGAGTAGATCGCACCTAGAATTTAG